GCAGACCAAGACAGTTTCTGAGCTCTCCTTGATCTGAGAGAACCTGTTAGATCTTTTCTTCTTAGCCTATAATTGTTTTTAATGTTAGTAAAGATCAAACAGGAAAGTAGGGTTGAGAGCAAGGGGGAGTGGTGCAGGGCAGACTTAAACCCAGGCCCCTGCAGGCTTTCAGCATGTGGGTCACCCAGTCAAACAGGTGAACTATAGCAGACCTTTTCTTGTTAACCTTCGGGGCACACAAGCACCAATGTAGGCTGAAAATCATAGCTGGATTGTGGTTCCAGTCCTTTAGATGTGATAAACAGGTGAAGCCCATATGCAACAACAACTGCCCCCAGGGTTTTTCCTATGTATAAAGAGAAAATTGGCTTCAGTCAGGTTGTATGGTGTAGAGAAGACCCAAAAGCATGATGTAAGACCCAGTGAAAAGGCAAACCTTCAATAGTAATCAAAAATAATGATAATAATAATAATCACAATGAGGAGTGAGGGGGAAAACAATAGAACACAGAGAACGAATAAACACATTACAAAAACAAGGGTCTAATCAAAACAAGAACCAAAATCTCAATAAATACTAAACAAGAATCCAAAGCACAACAAAGCCAAACCCTGACAGTATTAGCTGTCCACCAGAGGAAATATTTTTTTAATTGGGGTTTAATTTAGTCAAGCATAAAATACATTTTTGTTATTAAAAGCCAAAAACAGCAAGAAAATCCAAAGACGTCTATTAAGTAAGGTAACACGGACACTGACCAACCTTACCTATGCTTCACAGGAGAAAGTGCATGCCCTCGAGGAGTTTGCAAACTCGTCTCAACAACAAAAAGACAGAGACAGTGACATCTGCAACCTTTTCCACGTGACTGAGACCAGTTATCTTATCATGATGCTTCCAGAACAGCTTCTGAGTGAAGTAGCTCAGACTAAGTAAAGAGACTGGGAAAAAAAGGGAAAAACTAAAAAGAAGACCATCTGCTGCTGAACAGCTGAGATGAATAATACACTCTGAAGTTGGGTAGGAAGGTGCTAAGGCAATATGTCAGTGGTGGGCTGAATTAGCTCTAAATCATACTGGCAGGGTGTATTATAGCCACAGAGGAGGCCCATGTGAGCCTCACTTGCAGTGCCATTTTTGCCAGTGATGTTAGATAGTGATATTTCTTCAACATCATTAAATATCATTACATTTACTCAGCATTTTAATAGCTCTGTGTGGTGCAGATGCTTAAGCACTGCCTGGAAGACTGCCTAACACATAACAAGCCTCTACATTTAAACAGGGTGTTAGTCTAAAAAAAAACACATCCACAACGTTATTAATTTAGACTGCTTGTTGTAACAGAGTGTGTAGAGTTAAAGTGGATTTATTTGCAGGTGCATTGCTTCTCTTCTCACCTTGTTGACTTGGTCGTTCTTCCCTGGATGGGAATCTGAGGGGTTCCACGTCCGGCATTGCTGCAACTTCCCCAAAATGTATTAAAAAGAACACATCGCTGACTCTAAAGCAACTTTTCAGCGCACTGTAAAAGCGGGAGAGACATCAGTTAACCTTCATTGTCTAATCTAAACCTGGATCTTTAGCTCCAAAAAACAAAAAAATATAATTGGTAGCTAAATATTTCTGTCACTCGGGTTATAATAGATTTAATTCCTGTCGTTGAACTTCGGGTCAAAGTTGCGCTAACTGCAAGTTGATACCTTCACTCATCTCCGGATGCAGCTCTTTTAGCTAACGTTAAGTTAACGTTTAATTAACTGGGCTAATGACAAATTAATGAGCTAGGGGAGGTCGTTGTCATGGCACAAAGTGAAAGCGGAAAAATGAATGGCTATCAACTTACTTGTATTAATACGCTTCTGGCTGGCAGCCATCAGAGAACTGTCTTAAACTGTGATACTGCTCTTCTGAATTAAACACCTCGCAGCTGACCAGCAACAAATACAACTAGCCCCTTCTTTAAAGTTTTCTTCAAATGAATCAACTGAAGTTGCTGTCAATCTTCTTCGAAGGTTGCTTAGCAACAAGGGGGCCTGTACGCTGGGGAAGGGCGAGTTATGTTCAAGAGCAGCAGCTGTTTAGCTGCACGGGGAGGTCTCCTACGATTCATGTGAAATTAGGAACTTTTTTATTTTTTTAAAACACATCATTTTTCTCAAAGGTGGGATTAATTTAAAATTCAAATTTTATTTTTTTTTATGTTTTGAGGCGATTATAGACACAACAACCCTACTTCAGTAACCTATTTTCCAAGAATCCCACCGAAAGCGATACTTTTAAACACCACTCAGCAGCCATCTTGGAACGCACTTTGGAGAGTTATTTTGAAATTAAAAAATATGTGACCATTAAAACATAAGCCACTGAATTTATAAACTAACATGCAAATCTGTTTTAAAAGAAAGTGTTCAAAGATGATATCAAATCTGATAACGTTTGTTATGCCTGTGAAGCCATGTGGACGTCTGTATGTAATATTGTACTATATAAAAGTAAAACTGAAACGCACTGAATTAGCATCACTGCTGCTATGCTGTTACCATATCATGTCTCTCTTAAAATGTGTTTGGTTATTTTAACGATGAATAAACATTTTAGGACTTTCTAAAACTCTACACTTATGTTCAAAAATGTAATCTTTAACAGTGTAATATTTTATTATCGTTTTTTTAATCGTTTTTTTTTAGTGTGTGTGTGTGTGTGTGTGTGTGTGTGTGTTAATGGCAGGGTAGTGTCTTTATTTAGGTTTTCCTTTTGTTAATATTTTATAATGAGGTTTTCGTTATGATTCACATAAGCTCTGCCCTGAATAGCTCACAATCTTCTTCCATTTACATTTAAAGAAATTTAACGTAAAGGCGCATATAAACATTAAAAACTAGATTGCGACACAATCAGTACAATCAGAACAACTGAAAATATAAACGCTAAAGTAAACAACAAACAAATGATGAAAAAAGGGCATGTTACATGTTACAAAAACAGATTAAAAATAATAGTCAAAGGTGTTCTACCTATAGATATATTATTGCACTTCGGTCACCATTAACGCAACTATTTGTCCACTCTTGGTTTTATTAGCTTTGCACTTGTTTCATTGGCATGACGTCATCTTCTTTAAGCCACATGATGCCGCAACTTGCAAATGACTTGATGTATGCGTGTATATAAGACCACGTTAATATGCACCATAAGCTGCTCCTTTTTGTTTTTAGCATCTTTTTAAAATATTTTTGTTGTATCAAACTTTAACATTTTTGCTGCCACGCTGACGCAAGTGAAGAGATTCCGCATTACGTCATCGCGGAGGCCACATATTGGAGGCAGAAGCTGCCTTGTTCCGATCAGCCAGTGTGCGCTGCCTGGAAAACATTTTCTTCCACAACACAAGCTTTTTTTCGGAGGTGCCGGAGAGCGGCTCGAGCACGGCCGCTTGCGTGCAGCGATGCACCAGCCTACACCAAAGAAACCGTGATCGCGCCCCGGGACACGACGACGGATTCGCGGATGGAAAAACAGTGATGTTGCATGGCATGCCTCGAAATAAATTCTGGTAAGTGTTGTGCAAAGTGCTGCTGCTGCAGTCGCGGGAGGAGGGGGCTGACGGGCAACGAGAGGAGCGAGCTTAACCCACTTTGCCCCTCCGGGTGAAATTAGTTTGGCAAGTTTTTGGTGATTTAAAACGGGAGATGTGCAGGTAGTGAAACGCAGATAATGGGAAGGAAGGGGTGGGGGTAGATGTTCCTACAATAGTGAGACCTTTTGTCTCATGTCCACACAGGTGTTTCGAGTATGACAGGTGATGCATGAGGGCTGAGCGTGTACCACAGGGTGCCTGTTGCCACCCCCACATGTCCTGCTACCTTTTTTAGGATTTTAGTAATGCTGCCCTAACCTCCACAGGGCAACATCACTGAGTTCATACCCAGAGGTGCATCTCTCCTCGGTGCAAATTTGTGTTTCCATGTTGGCTTTCACATTGCATAGTTAAACAGGCAACCATGCAAACTTATTCCACTTGTTTGTTTTCTTGTGACATTACAGAATTCAAGCTTCTTAATTCATGCAAAGAACTCACTGGGATACTTGCTACCCATAAATCAGTGTCTGCACTCTCTTTTAACGTCGGGGTAGCAAAGTTCTTCCCCTTTTTGCAGCTGAAACCATGGTGATCATCAGCAGGTGACAGAGAGCCCTACCGGCAGACATCACCAGCTGGTACCGGGCATGAGGAGAACACCGTCTCACTACCTTTACTACACCAGAGCAGAACAGCTGATTAACTTTTAGTCAGCAGTGCAGCTTTTCCCTCTTGTTTTATTTTTTAATTCCTGTCTGGAGATGGGATTTGGATGCCAATGTAGTTCAGTCTCGTGATATAAAAATAACTCTGGCCAATCAGTGGTAACAGCTGCGATGTACTGTCCCGAGCCAGTGGCACAGATTGGACTGTAACTCTAGTAAGTGCTTGTGTGTGGAATTGTTGCTTGTCAGCCTGGTCCAAGTACACGGAGGAGGACATAAATTAACAGCACTCTCTTCAGGGTTTTTTTTTTTGTTTTTTTTTTTTCTTAATCGAGCTGCTGCAGAAATAGAATCAAAATGTAAATAACTTACTAATAAGGCTTGTTTTGGTCTGATATTTGTCCAGCAGAAATCCTGTGCAGCGTAAAAAAGGAAAGGGGTGGGGGTGGGGGATAGAGAGTGGCAGGGCTAAACACAGCCAAGAGTCTTGCAGGAATGAGTCACGCTAACTCTGGACTGTTAGTGGTAAAAGATGATTTGCTCTTTTAAGGGCAGTTATTTTCTAATACTTCCAGTGTGGCAGTGCCACAGAGAGTGAGTAATGTTTGCCAGGGCCAGGCACGATGTTTTGTGGGGGTCTGCAACTAGAGAGCCGGCAAAGCTGTAGAAGAATGTTGCACCTTCTCATTTGTAGTTAAAGATAGTGACAGCACATGCTGTATTCGGACTCACAGTTTCTAGTTTCAGATGTGTTCGGATAGGCCCGCCCGCACGGGCCCGTTTTGTTTGAAAGGAGTTTGTGTCATGGACTGTTGTTTTAGGAGAAAGGTCGACCTGGCTTTGTAATAACTCTGCTCAGGAAAGGGGGGGAAAGGGATACAAACATGGTGCTTTATGAAAGGTAAGGTTGATCATGTCATTCCCTTCCCCGCACTGGTTTAATATCAGCTCTGGCAATAGATTGTATCAATCTCAGTTATTTCCAAGGATGAAAACAGACCGCAGAAGGTCACGTAGCTGGCACTCTGGATGTGTTTTAATGTGATGTGGCAAAGGGTATCAGTTTTAATCTAGACAATGCTGTATATTTGTATACTTTTATATTTGCTTAGTCTGGAAGTGATAAATGGGATTGAATATCCATTGCTTTCATGATGACATTGGACTTGTGGCTGCTGGTAGTGGCCTGACATTACGTTGCATCTAAAAGTGCTGTGGTTGTATTTATCATTCTCTTTAAACTGATGAGATTTATTATTTGCGATATTAGAGGGCAGCGTTGAAATTCCTCTGTGGCCGTTTTGATCTGTGCTCTATTGTGAAGTAATTTACTGAAATACTGCACTTTATCCTATAATTCCAAGTTAACTTATTAGCTTAATCTCTCCCCTCTTGAAGTGGATTTCAAACATTCCTAGTACTCCATAACTGACTGCCTGCACTGGCAAGAATCAGAGGAAGCAGGAGGTGGGGGGCCAGAAAACTGTGGTGTTGTCTGCTTTTTAACACTAGGTGAATTCTAATTTCTGCACCACGCATATCTGCAGGATAATATTTGGGTCTACCAATTACTGTCAGAGTAATTTGAAAAAGCATGCCTGAATGACTGTCTCACAGAAAAAGCGTTTTCAAGCCACTCGCCCAAGAAGTGTCACTGTGCGCTCAAGTATCAGCCCGCCGACCGTTATCTCATAAAAGATATTTACTGGTGAAAAACTTTTCTCTACAAACTTTGCTTGTCTGCAGTGGGAGGTGTTATCTGTGCGTGTGTGCGTGTGTGTGTATGAGTGTGTGTTTTAACGAGTGAAGCGGCTAGGATCTTTGCTGCCATAGCAACAAAACCACATGACTAGGTGTATTAGATTGCCTCGGACAGTGTGCAGCGAGGCATGGTGTGAGCATTCTCTCTCTGCAGCTCTGCCCCTTTCAAACTCCTCTCCTTGTCCAACTTAAAAATATTTTGATAACCACCACACTGCGCTGCATTCAAGTTGCAGTTTACAAAATATGAATACTCTCAAATTTGGAGCATAGCATGATGTTATCACGGCCAGATTGTCCTGCAGTGGGATGATGGGGCACAATGAGCCGTGGGCCCCTTTTGGTTCCCTTTGATGTTTTTTGTTTTGTTTTTTAGGAAGTTTACACACCGACAGCTCTTGTGAGTTTTGTATGGCATCATTTTTATCTGTTAATCTGAAATTAAAGAGCAGTGACCTTTTACTATCCTTTCCAAACACAAAAAATGAGGGAACTGTGATAAATACATTAAACACTGTGTTGATCTGTGTTGCTGTTGGCATATCTGAAGTGAATAACTGGCTAACCATGTTAAAACTTCACCAGACTAAATATTAATAATATTAATGTCCTGTACCAAATTTGGATGTCATTGTGAGGAACCAAGCAGCCAAAGCAAAGAGGACACAGGCAAAAAAAAGTATCTTCAAAAAGGGTTTTCTTTATTTTAACCCTCAAAAAGTCCAAAATGAACAAAATTCAAAAACATACTTAGCAGGCCCATAAAAGAGGTCAACTAAATATAACTCTACGAAAAGTAATTTCCAGAAACTTAAGTTGTGTCTCACTTTGTTTTTGTTTAACTCACAAACTGACCCAATTACAAAGACAAGAGGGTAGCTTTTATAATGATTTGGCCAAACCATTTGAACACAATAGGGGGGGGGAAACAAAAAACACACTAATATTAACTAAGCACAGAATAGCCTAACTAAACCTAAAACACCCCTGCTCCTGGTAAGCCCATGGTTGGTCCTGCTGAGCAGGCATTTTGTTCCCAGAGTCCTCAGCCACGCCTTTTGCCCAGACAGGAAACAGCCACGCCCAAACCCAGGTAACTCAAAGAAAGAGAAACATAATTAATATAACAAAACATTTTAGAAAAACCACACAATGTTACTATGTGCGCGCCTCATAATACCAGTGTTAGGTTTAACCAAATGATTAATGAAGAAAACTGCAAAGCAAACTAATAAAGTAAAAAATGGACTAATTGACCCCTGTGTGGCTGATGCCATCACAGTCATCAACAGGTTGATGAGCTCCTGTCAGTTGCTGTCTGTCCTTAATATACCAAAATAAAGTAGCCGTCTTAATGCTGTTATTATCTCTGGTAAATTGGTAGCAATGCTTAGCAGTTTTATGGTGAAGTGCACGAAAAATCTTCTGCTGTCGTAGTAAGCTAGCAAACTCAAGAATTCTAACATGTGCTTAACCTTGACAAAGCGCCAAAACCTTCATGTCATGGGTGAAAGTTTAATTTTGTTGCATCTCTGTCATCCTTCCAGCAATCTAAAGCAGACTTTTTTTTGGATATTTTAAGTTGAAAGAGGTGGGATTTTTGCTACTGACCTTGATGCATATGCATTTCTGGGAGGAGAATATTAAAATTGGGTGTGCAAAAATTTATTAACATTTGGGACATGCGGTTTTCTGCTAATTGCATCGATATTTAATGCTGAAAAAAGTGCAAAAAATAAGACATGCTTGTTATCAAAATTAATGATATCAAGCGATTCCTTGCAAAGAATTGTACTCATGTGCTCATTTAGTAAATCTGTCCCCTTGTTTGGAAAAAGTCAGGGGAAAGACTTAGCCAACTTTTAGCTGAATTATCAGGATATCCACAACTGATTAAACTTTAGATAACCAGAACAGAGAAGCTGCTTTTGTATCAAGTTTAGGAGTCATTGCTTTAAAAGTCAAGAGTTTAATCTACTGCCATTATCGCTGAGTCATAACGATGTGTGTCTAATGTTGATGTTAAGCTTAAGGAAGAGCACCCTGAGGTTGCGACCGCTAATGCTGAGGCACTCGGGTTCTGACGTTGTTTTCTCTCCTCTTGATCAGAATGATTGAAGACTGCGGGCAGAGCGTTGACACCATGGCAGATAGAAGGCAACTGTTGGTGGAGATGAGTAAGTGCTCAGGGCCGCAGCTCACTGTGATCTTTGCTGGACTGTTTAACTCAATGACTGTAAAACTGGCAATTTCTTTCTCTCTCTCTCCCTCTCTCTCTGTAAGTTTCATGTACAGCAAATATTATAAAGATCAAGTGTCAACCACATTGATTTTTATACACACAGGCCTGCAATATGACCCCATGCTGTTTGTTCACACAGTGTGAAGGCGCTAATTTAAATTTATTGAAATACAGCTCATTAATATAACACTGTTTCATATAAAATATTTTCACAAAAAACATTCATTGTTCAAGTTTTTGATTAGTTCCATCCTTTCATCCGGTAAGTATTCCCATTCGTCGTGTTTAGAGCTGCTTTGTGGACATTGGATGAATGGTGGGGTTTATCTTGTCCTTAAAAGTGAAAATATCCACATTCGCAGCTCAAACCAGTTTAGAGTTGCAGTTTAAACCCAGAACTTTCTCACTGTGAGACACACCGGACATAATAAAAAATAATCTGACTCTTAGAAGGTCTTGAAACTAGGTAAATGCAACTGGAGATAAACTACAAAACATGAAACACTGTGTCATTATTTATTTAGCAAAAACGAAGCCAAAATGCAGAAGCAGAAAACCTAAATACATCTTTACTGCTTTCATAGGAATTAAGAGGGTTGTAGAATTAAGTAGGAGCCAGGTGCTGCTAATCAAATGCATTTGATTAATTGATCATCAGCAAATGTGAGCACCTCTATTAATCATAAGTTTTGGCAGTTTGTTGCGCTGAAGCATTCAGGTGTGTGTTACACAATGGCAAGGATGGAAGACATCAGCGATGATGATATACAAGCAAATGTTGGTGCCCATCATTCGGGGAAGGGTTATAAGGCCTTTTCCAACCAGCTTTCAAATCATCTTTCCACATTTTGAAATATTATTCAGAAGTGGAAAATATTCAAGACAGTGGACATCCTAACAAATTCACCCCCAAGGTAAGACTGCAATGATCAGAGAATGCAAAGAACCCAAGAGCTACATCTCAACTCTGCAGGCCTCAGTTAGCATGTTAAATGCAATTTAAAAAAAAGCCAGGACCAAAGTGGCAATGTGTGGCCAGAATGCACAAAATCATATTTGGTAGAAACCAAACACGGCATGTCAGCACAAACACCTCATACCTGCTGTCAGGTACGGTGTTGGAGGGGGGATGATTTGGGCTTGTTTTACACCCACACGACCTGGACACCTTATAGTCATTGAGTCGACCATGAAATCCTCTGTCTAAAGAGTCAAATGTAAGGCATCTGTCTTTGCCCAGACACCAAAATCTCTTCATAGCAATGTGAGAGGCTGATAAAGCCATGCAGAAAATGACTGTTTCATGTTGTTGCTGCTAGAGGTGGTTCATTTACACTAAAAATTAAGCTTTTAAGGATTAGATCAATTTTATGATAGCCTGATTGACAGAGAGTACTTTCTTTTTAGTCATATCTTGTTTTCTCAATGGCATATTTAAATATATAATATTTAACAGTTTGTATTCCATTTTCAGTATTAACTCTCAAGTGACCAAGCTGTTTTAACAACTGAAATGACTGAACAAGCTTTCCTGTTCTTTTTCCCCATTATAATTTGTACAGGAATACTTTTTTTTTTAATGGCTCCATTTGTGTCTATCGTGCATGTGCTCTTTCTTTTATTGATAAAATGTTCAAAGGTAATTATGGTGTTCAGTCATTTTCATGTAAAAAGGAGTTACCCTGACTCATCTCTATAACTTGAGCTGTTTTAGCATTTTAGGCACTAAGTATCTAAGCTACACTTCTTATCACTGCAGAACTTTAAAATGCAGTGATAAGAAGTGGGAAATTACAATAAAGCCTAAAACTGTAATGTAGTAAATAAAATTTAAAAAAAAATCCCTATCACTTGTATCAGTGGCACATATTTGGTCATTTGAGGACTAAAGAGCGATGTTCCTACAGGGGCTCAGGATTTGGATTCTATACGACTGTCAACGTACAGAACGGCCTGCAAACTCAGATTTGTGCAGAAGAAATGCAACTGTGCGTATGAGTTTTTATATATTTATTTATTTTGAAATGTTGCACGTGGCCAAGCCAGAAAGGCTTATGGTGACGTCTTCCTGTTTTCAGTGCATTTGGTCGACATTTGGAACGTCATCGAGGCTTTCCGGGAGAACGGCCTCAACGCCATGGACCTCAACGCTGAGCTTTCCGTGGCTCGTCTAGAAGTTGTGCTGTCCACTATCTTCTACCAGCTGAACAAGCGCATGCCCACCACGCATCAGATAAACGTGGAACAGTCCATCAGCCTGCTGCTCAACTTCCTGCTGGCAGCCTATGACCCGTGAGTAAACGCGTCACGTGACGAGCCGGCTGCTGGTTGTGTACTTTCACCTCGGAGGTTTTGACGTGAGTTGATGCGGTGTGAAATGTGACCGTGAAAATCCAGACTCTTTTCCCCTTCTAATGTCACAACATGCGGATGTAGAGCGGATAAGTTTGTAGGCTGACTCATGCACATGCTTTTTACAAACACAGCTGATTTCATGCGATTATAGCAGGAACACTACGCAGCCTACATCTTCACAGCTCCTTTTAAAAGAATACATGAGCTTAATGTTTTTGTTTTTTGTCTTTTAGGGAGGGCCACGGCAAGACATCTATCTTTGTTGTGAAAATGGCCCTCGCAACCATCTGTGGTGGGAAAATTCTGGATAAATTAAGATGTAAGAAACACAACAAATCTTTATCTTACTTTTAATCGTGAAAAATGAAATTATAATTGCCTATGTTGCCAGTAATAAATCAGCAAATTCTTCCTATTCTAAGTAATGCAAAATTATTAGGACCTGTTTTTTGTGTCTCTGTGTCTGCTCTGGTTTTAAAACAAGTAGCAGCAGCACTAGCACTGCCCTGGCTCTTCATGGCCAGGAGCAGTCATTATTCATTACTGTATGTGAAGGATGGGGTTTATTACACAATGTACAAATCTCTGGGGGCAGCAGCTTGTAAAAAAAAAGGGGGGGGGGGGGTAAAAAGGAGGGTTGGTATATAGTTAGAATGGATCTGTATAACTGCTGTACTTTGATTTGTTTTCACAAATAAGTGGGATAATTGTATTGTGTAATGCTATAATTAGCCGACTGTGGTGGCAGCCAACAATTAGTTTGATTAATTTGTGTAATGCCTCTGCGTTGTTTCCAGATATTTTTTCACTCATATCAGATTCTGCTGGAATAATGGTGCACTCGCAATTTGACCAGTTTCTGAGGGAGGCTCTTAAATTGCCCATGGCGGTTTTCGAGGGACCCTCGTTTGGTTACACCGAGCAAGCTGCGAGAACGTGCTTTGCGCAGCAGGTGAGGGTTTGACGCCCGCAGCATTTTGATGTCAGTAAGTGTGTGATTGCTTTAGCATTGACGGTGTGGGTGAATCTCACTCTTCTCTGCGCTGCACGTCGATAGAAAAAGGTCTCCCTCAACACATTCCTCGATACGTTGATGTCAGACCCGCCCCCTCAGTGTCTGGTGTGGCTGCCGCTCATGCACCGCCTCGCCAACGTGGAGAACGGTAAGGCGCGCTGAAGAATATTTAGCAGGAGCGCAAGCGGGGAAGTTCGGCTTTGCATCATGGTCTTTTAGTCACCGCCATCACAGACACACCTCCAGTAAAAATGACCCACTGGGACCTTACACCCTGTGTATGAGTGTGTATATCTGTGATGCACTCATCATCACAAGCAGAACACTAATATATGTGCACATATAGAGCTTGATGCTGTGCTGCTTTGTGTTTATTTGCTCAAAATGGGGGGGGGGGCAAGATATCCAAGCACATCTGTCCTTAAATTAATGAAAATTTATTATCAGCTCTCTGCAATGTGCAAAATATCTGGGTTTACAGTCACATCTGGTGTGTGTGTGTGTGCGCTTATGCATCTGCCTTCGTGTGTGTCTGTGTCTGGCTCCTCCTCTCCTCCCTGCAGTGTTTCACCCGGTCGAGTGCTCCTACTGCCATACTGAGAGTATGATGGGCTTCCGCTACCGCTGCCAGCAATGTCATAATTACCAGCTCTGTCAGGACTGCTTCTGGAGGGGGCATGCCAGCGGTTCCCATAGCAACCAGCACCAAATGAAGGAGTATACGTCATGGGTAAGGAAGGGAGGAAAGGGGGGAGGACGCAAGGGGTGGGCTAGGGGAGGTGTGTCTACACCGGACCAGTCATTGTGGCTATTTTTGTTCTGCTTCACTACAACATGAGGAATCTGAAGATTCAGTCCAGGTGACAGTGTTACCGTGGTGATTTACCGTGTGCTTTGAAAAAGAAATGAGCATCCTCGCATCCTCACAACCCTCACCTTGCTTCTGTGTATCACCCAGAAATCCCCCGCTAAGAAGTTATCCCACGCCCTCAGTAAGTCATTGAGCTGTGCATCCAGCAGAGAGCCTCTTCACCCCTTGTTTCCTGAAATGCCAGATAAACCTCTCAACCTAGCTCATATTGTGTAAGTTCATCTTCTTTCGCTCCCTTTTTTTTCCTTTATAACACTGAAACTGAGAATTTGTGCATTCAGAGCATTCAGTGCCAGTTTGAAACCTTGAAATGTTTTAAATTTATCCCTCAGCTGGTAATGATCCTGTAGCTGCTTCCTTGGTCTGAAGTGATTCCAGTCAATCTCTTAGGTCAACTGATCAATCAGGCTTAATTACAGCCTTGGGATTGTTTGTAATCTGCAGCGCTGCTGCTACTTTTTCCTTGATGTTTAGTGTCGTCGTATAAATGATGAAACAAATATCAGGCATGAAAGCATAGACTTTTAAGCACTTTGCTGCTGCCTATTAGAGCCCATCTTACAGACATAAAGTCACTTCTGGTGCTGAGAGCTAAACTACACACTGATTATTCCATTTTTATGATTCCTGCAATTAAAGTTAATTGTTATGTTAATTGTCCCAGTTTTATAGCCTGCAAATGACCCAAAATTTTCAGACTGATGCTGCCAACATATTTACAGAAAATCAGATGGGTAATAGATTTCAAATCTAGTTTAAGAGGTAAAGATAACATGAGATCCGAAAGTTTGGTTATTAATATACTTTAGAATTGAAAAAAGAAATTCTTCCTGTCCCTTCCTTTCACAGTAAAAGCCTTCAACATATACAGTGTGACTGCCATAAGGAGTTTAAGAAACAGATTCTAGGATTAAAATATAATTTGATCTTTGATTTTGCTCGATATTAAATGGAAGATCATGTTTTTCTTTAAAAAAAACAGTTTTTTAATAGTTTTACTTATGAATATCTAATATAGCAAACTAGGTAAATAGAAAATTGCTTTTAACTTATCAGACAAACTGTAATTTGGTAATAAATGTCAACCAAAAAAAGTTCATTACCGTCGTTTTAATGGTGCACATAAGTCACATCATGTCTAAAGAGACAATAATTAATAACAGAGTATAGTTTTAATTCACGCTCAGAAAAAGAAGAAAGAAAAGTAAAATCTTTTTGATTTTACAACACTAATAATGACGTTAACATAAGGTGTGAGGGTTTTTGTTTGTTTGTTTTTAATTTGTAGAGGTGACAGGAAGTGTGCAAATTTTCATGCATGCATGAAACAAAATGGGATTCTGTACATGGATGCAATTTCATGAGGCTGACCTGTAATCTAATCTACAAACCAGCAGGTTTATATGTACGCTGTACGTTGGCATCGCTACTTTCAGTTATTTAAAAACTCACTTTTTCTTCACTTTCTTCACTGCACTGAATTATGCTATAAACTCAGTAGATTTGGGGCACTGTCTTCTGTGAATGCCCGATTTAGTTTTCATTATTATTATTTTTTTCATTGTTTTTGATGTATTATAGTCTCTTCCTGTGCTGCTGTAATGTAATCAAGTATTTATCCCTTTCTTTGTTCTTTACATTCCTCAATAGAGATACGTGGTGAGTTTGCTTTGATTAATATGAATCATACGTCATTGTTACTGTAGATTGAATCCTTTGTATTGTGCTAATCGTGTACAGTCAGACTCATCCACTCACATTCCCCACTTGTGACGTGTCCCAAACACTGTTTTGTTTGTTAATTCCCAGATTCATTCATTCATTCTTGCATGTTCTCCTACATGATATCATACTTTGTTGTCTTAATTAGACACATGCATAAACCACTCAAGTGGAAATTCAGAGATTATGCAGTTGAGCAAAATCCTCAAGACTGAAAGAATGAAAGACTAACTGGTGTTTTCTGTCTCTTTAGCTTTTCTGTCAGATCAAATTAAAATCTAACACGTGTTTCCTGTCCAGGCCACCAAGACCGGTGAACATCACCAATGACTACTCATTCTCGCACTCCATGCCTACATCAGGGAACCCTTACTCCACCAAAAAGTGAGTACATCCCAGCTGACAACGGGTGCCCTGGATTTCACAACAGATCTTTTCAATCTGTCGTGCTCCCTAAAGACCCTGTGCCCCGTGAACTCCATGACCCACGCTGTCTTTATTTTCCTGAAGTCTTTGTGATGGTGTGGGTGCATGTGTGAAGATTTGTGCATCACCATTTAATGTGTTTTCTCGAGCTGAATGTAAATGGCTTGCCTTACAGCAAGAATAATGTTGTTGGGCAGAGAAAGCCCCTGACTGGGGCTGCTCCACATCTGCTGAAAGGGAGAGGGTAAGTGGCATAGGTGTGCATATGAGAATGCCTTTGTAGCGCGAATGCATGCGCAAACTAATATAGATAATAATCATACGCATTAACTAGAGTGCTTATCATCCTGAGGAAACTATTAGCAAGCCGGGTTTCTTATAGAAGGCTGTACACTGTTATTCTCTAGGGGCTGTTTCAAAGATGCTAGATGAAGCATGCATCATGAAGATCATTGGCGCTTCGTTTAGAGTGCCTATTATAATCTCTTCATTCACACAGATATGGGAAACACTAACTGCCATTTTCTTTGAATGTTGCCATCAGTCAGCTCATATGCTATGCTATAAATTCCCAGGTTCATTGTTTACGGTGTATGTGAGTAGGTATATTCGTTTTAGACAAAGTGGGATTAAGGCGCTTCCTCGGTCGGTAATAATGTTGTTTTAGGAGATGTAGTTTAGTTGATTTTTCTAGTGAGAGGAATTTGTGCACTTTTGCACCTGCACTTGAGAGACGAAAGCATTCCTCTTGGGCACACTGCCCGCTTTCATAACTGACACTGAAGTTGCCATTGAACAGGCTGATAATCCCATATGCTACAGCAAGGATTTTTGTTTATAGATGTATGACTTTAAAGGTTTAGAAGCATGGACAGTATATGGTGAAATGTCATAATAAATAATTCACTAGCAGGGGCCACATCCTGGGAGAAGAACAGATCTGAGGCTGCGGTTGAGGACTGGCAGCGTCGGGCAGACCCCCATGTGTTAATGAGAGGCGTGAGAAATGAGAAAGGGGGGGAGGCAGGGTGGGGGCACAACAATGAGAACAATGTACCTGTAGTTTAGGGAGGTGTGTTGTTATGGCATGTTAAAGAGCAAGGAGGGTAGTGTATGAGGTGTCTCATTTCTGATCTCCAAAAAAGGTGTTGTTGTTTTTTTGTTTTTTTTATTATTGTTGTTGTTGCAGTACCATGCATGGCCACTGGGAACAATTGCCATCAGGGGTTGTGCTAATAAATACTTATTAGCACAACCCCTTGTCTAATATATCCATGCATATATCTGCAACTTCACTCGGAGTGTTGTTTTATCTCATGGTTTTCTTTCTTTTTATACTTCACTAATTAACTATAAATTGCCCAATAAAGGCAATTTAAAAAATAAAAGGATTTTATTTTTAACAATAAATGAATGGTGTTTCATTTAGATCACGTCAGCTGTCCTAAACATTAACAGCTGATTTCCATCACATACAGTACGTCTGAGCTAGGTCGGGTCAGTATGTAGTACTGGCTAGTAAATATCCATGATAATTATATGGTAGCCTTTGGGTATCGGGTTGGGGTTTTTTTTGTTTGTTTGTTTGTTTTTTATTTCAAGGGTGTCTGGGCTCTCTTTTAGCGATGGGGTGAAAGGTTCAGGAGGGACTCACAGTAGAGTCCATATTACTCCACATTGAAAGGAGCCGGCTGTGGAGGTTCGGGCATATAAATAAGATGCCTTCTGGGTGCCTCCTAGGTGGGACGTGTCCTTAGAGTGGGAGGCTCCAGGATAGACCCACTTGAGAGTTTACATCTCTCTGCTGGTTTGGGATGAGCTGAAGGACAGGGCTGGGCATTCCTGCTTACGATGCTGCCCTTGTAATCACTGCTTTCTTCTGACATTGTAACTTACATGTACGTGTAAATGCTAATAAAAGAAGCTGCTATTGAAAATGCTGTTTAAACCGCATGGTCGCTACATTAGAGATGTTTGCAATCCTGGTGGGTGGCCTCTATTAAGGGGCCATGCACACCTGACTTAACGTGAATGTTTAAGCAATAAATAGATTTTCGATAGTTTACTAATAGAGGACTAAGTACCTGTAGAGTATTTATCTAATTGGAGCTTTTTGTTTTTTGCTTGGCATGCTCTCAGTCTGCTCTTAGCCTTCATTGGCAGTGTCTCTCCCAAACATAATATGGCCTTGTTTCACTCTAGTCACCCATGAATGGCTGCTTTTCAGCTGTTCTCCTCCTCTTTTCTTTTGTTGTGTCCTCTCCCTGCCTCCCTCACTCTTTCCCGTCCCCACTCCACCCCGTTGTCACCTGTGTAACGTAATGTCTTGTGTTTTGTGAAACCCTGCACTGTTCCAGGTTGAACTACAACCTCGATGTTGCCGATAGACTTGCTGACGAACATGTACTCATTGGCCTCTATGTGAACCTACTCCAAAACAACCCCAAAACATGGTTAGTGGGTGTGCCGCTGTGTTTGCCAAACACTAGTGGAAACTATGTGCTCCGGTGAACTGCCGCCTTTCCCCCTAACCTAGTCAGAGTGTGTTACAGTCCTAACGATGCATGCTGTCAGACTGTTTTAGAGGCTGGTTGCTTTGACCTTTGACCCTTTCTGCATTCCCTGGCAGTGTTTCTGACTGATTTGTATCCAAAGTGGGTAACAGGGTCTATTTCTTCCAACATTATGACTCTATAACTCCATGCAGTGTACATGTGTTGTCTTTGAGTGAAATTTATCAAGTTAAAAGTGGCAGCTTTTTAAATTTGTGTAACTTCCAATACAGATTAGTTTAGTTAACTGGTATCAAATTATTAGTCTTTTGTTAGTTTGATCCTGTAAATCCTGTGACTTTTAATCATTTTAATTTACTGCAGGTGATTTGACATATTTTCTGTTATTGTTGTGTGGCCTATGATAAAATGCCTGTGTGTGTTTTATTGGTGAATGACTTCCAGATAACATGTTGTGTTATTGTAGCAGCTTTTGACCCTACTGTACGCATGCGTGTGCATAAATGTGTAAATACAGGGCTGTATGGTTTCTTTGCTTTTTGTTTTTGTTGTTTTTACTGTATTTGTAATTAGATAAGCTTTCAAATACAAAGCGATCGATTGCTTTGTATCTCCACTTTTTTACTTAAACCCTCTTAATTTATTGTTTTGCGTTTTACGCGAATAGCTTGGTGTTACTTCCTGTCGAAGCTTTCATGAATCTGACTCAGAAAAGTAAAAGTTATTTGCTTTTTTTAAAATTTCGAGTGCTCATGTTGCGTCCACATACACGTTTTATTTTTAATTGTGCTGTGTATTTTTTCTCCCATCTCTGTTTTCCTCTTGATCAGTTTGCTGGAGAGCAGTAACCATCAAGATGACGAGCACAGTCTCATTGCTCGCTATGCTGCTAGACTGGCTGCTGATGCTGCGGTGAGATAAGATATTCATTTCACACAAACATCTTTCATCACTGTCCAGTTAAAAAAAACAAGATAAACTCGAGTAGACATTTACTGCTACTCTACGTTAGAGGGTTTTATTCGTTTTTTTGTTTGTTTTTTTTACAGTCAAGAAGGTGATCATTCTCTGTTATCATTCTTAACCAATACAGGAGGGAAGTATAAATTTCTACTAGAAATTTATACTCTGGATAGTTCATGTTACATGAACTATCACAGCTGATTTCTAACCCTTAGACAGTGTAAAGATGGAATTCAGTGAGTGAATCTAATTAGCATCATTGGCTCAAACTCAAATTGTTTTTTGCCCTGGTACACTGACCATGAACGCCACAGCTGCTCCA